AAAAAATGGTGTGCTAGAGTGGGGCTGAATTTTAACCCATCAAAAACCACTATAGTACCATTCTCAATGAAATATGAACTGGAGAGCCTATGTATTATGTATTATGTATTAAAAAGAGGTTAAATTCCTAGGAGTGATACTAGACCAAAAACTACTCTGGAAAGCACACGTGGAAGAAACCACGAAGAAAGCTGCAAGATCATTGATGACGTGTAGGTCCATGGCAGGAAAGAGTTGGGGATGCACACCAAAAAGGTTCCAATATCGGGGCAGAAGGGTACCTTAGCCGTGCGAAGTTAGATATTCTTACGAAGAAGTTCCCTGAAATTGCAATACCGAGGGATACCATGCATCCGAGGTACAGCTTTACAAAGAGGTTTAAAACTGAGATCTGAGAGAGCCGGGCTGGCATATCCGATACGTATCGGATAAACCAAAACATGATTACCTGATACACTGATGGCTCATTGACCGACGAGGGTACCGGGGTAGGGGTAGTTGGACTGAGGTTGAGATACTCGGAACCCATGGGAAAACATATATCTATTTTCCAGGCTGAAACATACGCCATAGAAAGATGCGTGGACTGTAATATCATGCGAAACTACCGGAATCAGAACATCGCAATCTTGACTGACAGCCAAGCGGCTATCAAGGCCCTCAGATCTCACCAGGTAACATCTAAACTGGTTGTAGTGGCTCGAAAAGCTGAATACTCTTGGTCTGATCAATCGGGCTTGGGTTCTCTGGATTCCGGGTCATATTGGTATTAAAGGAAACGAGATTGCCGATAAACTAGCGAAGAAGGGTGCGTCGACCCCTTTCACCGGCCCAGAGACTTTCTGTGGCCTGGGATAAGGAGAACTCTCCGAACTTGTTTGGTTATAGGAAGAGGCTCATAGAAAACGCTACTGGGATAATCTACCAGGTCTAGAGCAGTCCAAAGCACTTTTATGAACATATAACATAAAACGCTTGTATGAGCTTATCAAAGAATAACTTAAGAATTGTTATAGGAATCCTGACAGGACACTGTAGGCTGAACTAGCACCTGACTAAACTGGGAATTTACTCGCATGAGCGATGCAGATTTTGCAGGATGGAAAACGAGACTGCACAGCACATCCTAGAAGAATGTCCTGCACTGATGCACAAACGCAAAAGGCGCCTGTGTAAACATATGTTAACCAAAGGCGAAGTGAAATCCGTAGATTTAGGTTGCATACTAAAGTTTCTATAATCCATGAAGGGGGGCACAATAAATCTTAAGGTCGCAGCGCTTTATCCCCAACAATAATAATAATAATAATCTCGATTCGTTTTGGCTGTTACAAAAAACCGTTATGTGAACAAAATTAATATACCCTTATGCACAAGTGCGCTCGGGTATAATTAAAGCTTGATATAAGTTAACCTGTGTATAACTACTTTACTTGTGTATAATAAACTAAGGTAGCATATTCTCGATGCTGTTGGAATGATCTTCAGTAGTTACTAAAATATCGCAGTTTTCGTATTTCCGAAAATTACCGTTATATGGGATGTGGGCGTGGTTATTGTCCGATTTTAAAAATTTGGTATGCTGTGCGAAGGCCACCAACTGTGCCAAGTTTGGAAGAAATTGGTGCAGCGGTTACCAAGATATGCACATGTAACCATAAGTGGGCGTGGCTACGCCCATTTTCCAAAAATTTATAATATTCTTATTTTTCGTCTGAAAATTATTGTAAATATCAATTTTGAGTGAATTATCTTCAGTAGTTACTAAAATATCGCAGTTTTCGTATTTCTGGAAATTACCGTTATATGGGAAGTGGGCGTGGTTACAGTCCGATTTCGCCCATTTTCAATACCAACCTACCTTGGATTAAGGGAAACCTACATACCAAATTTCGTTGAGATATCTCAATTTTTGCTCGAGTTATCGTGTACACGGACGGACGGACAGACGGACAGACGGACGGACAGACAGACATGGCTTAATCGATTTATTTTTTCATCCTGATCATTTATCTATACATTTGTCTATAACTATCTCGAATTGTTTTGGCTGTTACAAACAACCGTTATGTGAACAAAATTAATATACCCTTGTGCACAAGTGCGCTCGGGTATAAAAATAATATGTGAATAAAATTAGTAAATTTCATCCACTAACTGTATTTACATGGTCTTGTGCTAATTCTCGCATTTTTATACCCGAGCGCACTTGTGCACAAGGGTATATTAATTTTGTTCACATAACGGTTGTTTGTAACAGCCAAAACGAAAAATACTACGAAACAAAAATGCGTTCACAAAACTCTTTTCAGTCTGTCAAACAGTCTCGTAACAGCCTCGTAAACTTTAAGATTTTACGAGTTTAAGGGAATCTACTTGATATCAGTAAACTAATGGCGTTTTTTTCTCGAAAAAAATGTCACCTCCTTATATGGCAACAATAGAGCACGCAATATGCATGTGAAGATGCTGAGGAAAGAACATGAAAACTTGACAGCCCTGGCCACGGCAGAATAAAGGCAACATTATATCGAGAAAAGAAATCCCTATAAATATCATACAAAGGGCGGCATGCTTGATGGTAACTGTGGCACTGAAGTCCTAACCGCAGAAGCAGTGAATGTAGTCATCAATATGATGCCCATTGAGCTATGCCTAAATGATACCATCATGTACTCAGTAGTACGATTCAGAGAGTCTGCGTTGTGGGGATCGAGGACCTTCGGGCATACTCAATCTTAAGCTCTGCCGCGATAGAAAATAAAACCACTGACCACATGGTATCAAGCCCCAATTTTTGCATGTGCGTTTTCCATCCAGAAGGGAATGGAGAAGTAGAGGGTGTATTATCTACTGAAGCCCAAGTCTAAGCTAACCAGAGAACACAAGATTAAGCCAATGTCCATCTCTTTCGTCTAGGCAGAAGGGATGCGCGTCAATGTTTTTTCCGATGCAATGCATCGTGAATCACATTGATGTTTTGAAACGTATCAGTTCAAAAAACATCGATATTCGATGCGTCGTAAGAGGGAGGCCCTACCGCGATGGAAGGACCAATTGGAGAAGGACTTGGCTTCATTTGGCATTTCCAATTGGAGTCATCTGGCATAGAAGAGAAACGACTGGCGTGATTTGTTGAACTCGGCCAAAATCTGTTGGGCGGATAAAGTGCCAAATAAGAAATAGAGTAGGTTTCCGGCCTGCGAAGCAGCCCAGGACTTTTTTAAACAGACGGTGCTAGTAATGAAAGAAAACACAGCTACATATTCAGAAATTTTCAAAACATCCATGGGAAGTACTTGGACTACAGATTTAACTCCTCCAGTGCGGTACTCACCCATTCCAGAAGCACATACATATGTAGCTGTTATGCACCAACCGTCTTATGTTGCCAACCGTCTCATTTTCGGCGGGACTGTCCCGTATTTAAGAGCTATGTCCCGGTCACTGTACAACGCATGCCGGAACGCGAAATATCCCGCTTTTTGCAAGAAAAAGATATCTCGTTGTAAAAAACTCGAAAAATGTTTATATTTTACAAATTCTATTTACTAATCGACAGTATACGCCGTAATTTGTTTGCTACTGGGTGAAAATTTCTCAACTGGACCTCGGATTTCAGTCAAGTTCGAATTTTTGCGTGAAAATTTGTTGGTAGAGAGGTTTATAGCTGTGAAAGGGATTCTGAGAATTTTTTTGAAAAATTTTAATTTTTTAAGTTTTTATAAGCAAATATATTTTTAAGCAATCTTTATTTCAAAGCTCATTTTCTCTTAATGTATTTGACGAAAGTTGATGAAAATTTTTGGAAGCGTAGTGACATTAGAGCTTTAAAAAACAAAAATATTTTTATAATTTAGAAAATTTTTTTTTTTTCATTTAAACATTATCGTTTATATTTTCGAAAACTGCATTTATTGAAAATATTTCTAAAAAAAAATGGTAAGGTCTTTTCTGTTTTTGACTTACAGCCACATTTGTCACAGCACGCACGCATCGTGAACCATGCACGCTCACCGCCTATGCGCGCAACGTGTTCACTAAAAAGCGCGTACAGGAGCAACTAACAAATGGCTCATATTTGCAACTTTTAACATAACCTTATATAATAAAAATGGCATTTGTGGTATTTTTAAGGCATTTTTAGGTTAAGCTTGGTATGTGTTAAAATAATCTGATCAAGTCCATTTTTTTGGAGTTCACACGCAACTGTATGGTTCTAGCGTCATCAGTCTACCATAAGTATGTTAATTTTATGTCTAAGATTGCATAAAAATATATTTGCTTATAAAAACTTTAAAAATTGAAATAAATAAAAATGAATCTCAGAATCCCTTTCACATCTGTAAACCTCTCTACCCACAAGTTTTCACGCAAAAATTACAACTTGACTGAAATCCGAGGTCCAGTTGAGAAATTTTGACCCTACTGCGGTTTCCTGCAGACTGTTTGCTAACAATTTGTGGTAACGCCGTTCAATTAGCTGATAATCGTAAAAAGTTGATTGTTTTCTTTTAAATGTGTAAACTCTGGAAAGTAGATGTAAAGAAAACTTGTTATAGTGTCCCGGTTAAAATGAGTGAATTACGCTAACCATGCAAAACGCGACTGCTTTTTTAGTGACGAATGGATTGTAAAAAAGAACTCAAGCACAAGTTTAAAGTACTTTCGATAGTTTTTTTTTTGAAAAACTGTCTGAAAAAAATTATCAAAAGTCAACGCGACTTTTTACCAAATTTAAACTGGCACTTTGTTATACTACAGTGCCAAATTGTACGCAAATTTATTGAATATTTCAGAGTCTAGAGATTTTTATACCCGAGCGCACTTGTGCACAAGGGTATTATAACTTTGTTCACATAACGGTTGTTTGTAACAGGCAAAACGAATCGAGATAGATATAGACAAATGTATACATAAATGGTCAGGATGAAAAGAGAAATCGATTAAGCGTTGACTGTCTGTCCGCCCGTCCGTCTGTGCACACGATAACTCGAGTAAACATTGAGATATCTTAACGAAACTTGGCGCGTGCACTTCTTTCAGGAGTACGACGGATGGTATTGAAAATTGGCAAAATCGCGCAATAACCACGCCTATCTCCCATATAACGGTAAGTTTCAGAAATACGAAAACTGCGATATTTTAGTAACTACAGTAAATTGATATTTACAATAATTTATAGACGAAAAATAAGAATATTATAAATTTTTGAAAAATGGGCGTAGCCACGCTCACTTATGGTTACATGTGTATATCTTGGTAACCGCTGCACCAATTTCTTCCAAACTTGGCACAGTTGTTGGCTTTGGTGCGGCATACCAATTGGCCGAAATTTTTAAAATCGGACAATATCCACGCCTACATCTCATATAACGGTAATTTAGAGAAATACACAATCTTCGATAAATCAGTAAATATTAAAGATAATTTATTAAAAATTGGTGCTTGCAACAATTCTTTACCAAAAAATACATTTATGATAAAATTTTGGAAAATGGGCGTGGCACCGCCCACTTATGATCACATATATGTATCTCGGCAACCGTTCAACCAATTTGTACCAAACTCGGTGTGGTTATTGTGCTTGCCACATGAAAGCAAAGCATTGAAAATTATTGAAATCGGACTAAAATTGAGGCCGCTTTTCATATAACGGTAAATTTCAGAAATGCTTGAAACTTCAATATTTCCAAATTTAAGGACGCTAATTTACTCAAAATTGATACGCCCGGGCTTACCATGCAGCGGTACCTTTCGGAAAGGTAAAAATCATATATTTAATACTTGCGCCGGGTATTTAATGTTCGGCTCCGTCCGTAGACTTTCTTACTGGTTTTAATTGTTTTTGATGTAATGTGAACTATATTTTTATAAAAAAATAATCCATACATTGCGACCAATTCTCTGTGCCAATATTTTATTTAATAATAATAAAAATAATAATAATAATAATAATAATAGATTGGCGCTTACACATATGTTAGTGTTTGGCCGAGCTTCTCCTCCGATTTGTGGCGTGCGCCTTGATGTTGTCACATAAAGCGGAGGGACCTACAGTTTTACGCCGACTCCGAACGGCGATTGTATTTTTATGAGAAGCTGTTTTTCGTGGCAGAAATACACTCGGAGGTTTGCCATTGCCCGCCGAGGGACGACCGCTGTAAGAAAAAACCTTTTTTCTATATTTTTTGCGATGTGGCTTTGACCACGTCTTGAACCCAGGCGTTGCGGAATGGGAGCGCGCACTGCTTATCACTACACCACAGCGGCCGACGTATATTTATTTAGTGCGGCTAAATTGCACTTGTTATATGAAAAACTCCACAAAAGCCAAAAATATTAAAAATCAACGCAATTTTCAGCCGCTGAAAACTTGCGCGTTATTATATTAAAAACAACAGGCTATAAAAGTGCGTACCAAAAAATTCTACAAAAATTCTAATTAAAAAGTTCAACATTTTAATGAACGTTTGTTGATCTCTGTATATACTTTATAAAGTTTGAAAGTTTGATTTATATGGCTTTCATTAAAGCACGAACTATATTTTTATAAAAATATAACAAACAAATTAACTTAAAAACAAATATTAAAAAAAAACTCACAATGTACTCACTTTTGCTCCCCACTGTATATAGAAATTTACAATTTGGTGTGATTTTTATTTAGAAATTGATTTATCTTTAAGTTATTATTATTATGATAATTATCATTGAAATTTCTATATATGAAAATTTCCATGTATCTATGAAATATTATATTGTTTTGTTGTTCTAAATAAAAAAAAAAAATCAATATAAAGCATTGAGATTTATTCCGTTTTATATGCTAGTTTACCTACCCTTTCATAACATTCTGTGTCCCGGTTTCGAGAATGCAGAAGTTGGCAACCCTGCCTAGCTGGACTCACTAGGAATTCCAAAAGCTCCAGGACAATGTAGTGGAAACTGCAATCGACAGACACCCAATAATTGTGTTAGGTGATTTCAATGTTTGGGCGACGGAGTAGGGTAGTCGCAAGACCAACCAGTACGGCACTGCTGCGTTTCCCCACAGGGTACAAATAAATATGTATACATATGTACATAGAGGTACAACTATTAAAAGACGAGACATTATTATTTCCGATACATTACTAATTCCGATAAGTTGCCCTAAATATGTATATTTTTATTAATATATACATAAACATACATACGCAAAATGTACTTACCCTGCAGCGGAAAGTACTAGTACAGAACTAGTGAATTCACCAGTTTTCGGGACTCGAATACCGGTACCTCGCAAATCTACCACCCATTCTTTCTACTGTCGCATATAACATGGAGTTGTCCTCGGAGGTGAAAATTGACTCCCGCTGCGTAACTTGTTGCCTGTAAAAGTACCAGTTTGTTTTTACGTTGTGCACTTCACAGATACTTTTTCATAATAAAAAAAAAAGCGAAAATAAAAATTTTAAATTATATGTTCTACATAGTGAGATTTGAACTTGGGCACTTTCGGACAGCATCTTTGCGCACTCAGCTACACGCGCAACATGTAAATGTGCTTTCAAATGTTCGCTTTTAATCAAACCAGGCGACGATCCCCTGCAAAAAATTGTGACTACTCCACGCATGCATTTAAAGAGTTCTCCCTAAGGACCAAGGAGTACTCCAAAATTAACCACAATTCATATACAAAATATGATCCAATTAACATTGCAATGTCCTAAGGCAGGACCATATACTCCCCCTCTGCATTATATCACAGTAGCGCAAAACTACTCCAACATATTAACAATGACATTGTTGTTATATTTTTTCGTTTGTGCGTGCTTTTGTTCTTCACTTCACAGGTGCTTTTTCGAAATTAATAAAAACCAAAAGCAAAAATTAAAAATTACATGTTGCTCTGACGGCATTCGAACCCGAACATGCTGGGAGCTAACAACTAACAGCGAGCATCTCTACACGTTCAGCTGCAGCCAGACATGCAGATGTGCTTTCAAATGCTCAACTTCAATCACGTTTCGTTAAAACACGAGCAGTAATCGGGTAACAATAAGCTGGTGCAGAGACACGAGTTGCTCCACTACAGCATGAGAGAGGAACACTTTTGTAAGTACTCCAATATACCACACATAGACTACATGGTCCAACAATTTTTGCAAGGAATTCGTTCAAATTTGTAAATTTGTATTTACTATTTCTTTTCCTGTGATCAAACGTACAAAAGCTGCATCGTGGCGTTGCCTAAATTTTCGTATTGGGCTGAACTGATTCTTGATGATAATTAAAAAAAAATTGTAATTTAAACTCGCAATATCTCACTCGTTTCTATATCGATCGATTTGAAATTTTCATGCAATAAACTACAAGCTATTCCAAAGAATTTAAGTTTAATACCACTTATTTGTTTTCAAATGCAAAAGTTGTATTATATTAAAGTTTGAATTTTTTTTTTGTTTTAAAACAGTGTTGTAGATGACTATCTAGGGAAGTTTTTGCGAAAGTTTTAGAATTAAACATCAAATAGTTGCAAAGTTTTAAGCAAAGTTATAACAATATTATTATGACTCGGATGGTTAGCAGATTAGCGCGCTGTGCTCTAAAAGGCTTTATAACTCGGAAAAGTAAAAAATAATCCCTTCTTATTAGTGATTTATATGTAAAAAGACGTAATCTTTCGTTTGAGAAAACTAAAAACAATATTAAAAATGACCATAACTCAGAAAAGTTACAAATAAATTTTCGTTCAGAGTTTTCACCATGAAAATGGGAACATTTTGGAAAGCGCCTAGTGCTATCGTATAGCCTGAAAAAAATCTATAGGAATCATAGTTTTCGAATTATTTTTCTCATTCTTTCTGCTTTTCAGCTAGTCGAAAAGTAGCTTGTTTTGCACCGGTCAGGGCGCTGGGACATTTGTTGTGAATTGCCCCATTTATATAAACATATCGCTAGCTTAGAGTGAAAAGTTGCTAACTTCACTTATAATGAAAAATCATATTTTGATATAGGAGGCTAGATAAATTAATATTGCATCGTTTCGAAAAGGGTAAAGGTCCTTGTTTTAAGTTTTCTCGTTTATATTCAATGAAAGGAAAATTTGCTAAGTCCAAAAAAGCTCCGAAAATTCGATAGGGCCAAAAAAGTTCGAAATATTTTAATAAAGATCGAATCCGTATTCCTGATTCGTATGGAAGTTTGCTTTGCTTTAAACAGGCAAAATGTTGTACTCAAAGTTTTGCGAAATACTTGAAGAAAATGGCTATACGAAGTTTTTTCCTCTCCTGTATAATTTTTAAATGGGGACTTAGCAACTTTGCACTCTACGCTAGCGATATTTGAAAAGAAACCAAAAAATTAAAAAAGTAGTAGTTATGTAAAAATGGGTATCTACATAGGTATTGCTTTATTTTGATACTTCTCAGTTCAATATTTGCGTGGTGGTCACACGAGGGAAACAGAACATGGACAAGGATTCAGAATTTATTTGTATTTAAATGATAAATAACAAATTCCTTTATGTTATAAGGGAGCACTATCATATTAAAACGACCAATAACCTTTAGAAGGTGCAATATGTAACCAATAGCTCGATTTCTTACTACCTGTATCATAATATGCTATTGGAACTAGTAATGTAACTAGTACGAAAGCGACAATTGTAACCGACCACGCTGCAGGGTATGTATGCGGGAATGTGTAGGCTACAAATATTTGCCATAAATTTCCCATCTGTGGCTGACAGCTCATTGCCTTAACGATAAACCAGCACTTAATGGCTTTGAGCGTCTACCGGAACACCGGCATCCAGCTGTGCGGTCATGCGTGGCTTACGTACATACCTACATATGTATGTATGCGTATACATACATATATACCTAAAACGAAGGAAATTTAATTGCAATGAATGCAAATTATACATAACGTGTGATTTAAATTTGTGGGATGAACCTTCATAGTAAATATAAGCTAGCTTAGTGTGAAAAGTTGCTAAGTCCACTTTATGCCTTCCCGTTGATACCACTGGTTTACAGCAAAAAGTTCTCCAGATGTGACTATCTAATTCCCATGTAGAATTCCCCGGTGATTCCGAAAATCTAGATAGTTTTTTTCTATGGATAACTTTTCGAGATATTTGCAATTTACCGCTATTCAACTTTAAAGAATAATGGTTTCACTTAATCACGTGTATCTTACGATCCAATTGAATAATCGTAATACGATATACGGGAAATGAAAGTAAATAAAATTCTCCATAAACCGTGCATACATCACTTTTTGATACCCGTGACAGTTTCTGAGAAATTAATTAATCATTTCTGACGCCTCTTTTTTTCGATCTACCTACCTTTTTACCTTTTGTTTTTGATCTACCTATTTTTCTACTTACTCAGGAGTACGTGGCGTATGAGTAACACCCTTTTCTGCTCATATTTCATACAAAAAATCCTTGCGCATTTTCATTTGACCAATCATTATTTTCTTATTTATCTATAGATTTTCTTCATTAGTAGCTTCGTTTTTTCGAGGTGAAACTTCTTTACCGGCGGTTAGTTGGTTGGGAGTAAATTGGCAATTTCAACGGAAATTGCACACGGAAATGGTTGTGGCTGAAACATTTGCTTCCTTTGTGTATGCATATGGTATTAACTTACCGAAAATTTGCTAATAAAAGGTTAAAGAATAACACTTAGAAAAAGACCAATACAAGAATGAAAGTAAAGGTGACTACGCACATAGATAAAGAAAAGGAGGAAGGCAAAGGTAAAAATTAAAACAAAAAACAAAGATGCGTAAAGATAAAAGCAAAAATGAAGACCAAGGCAAATTTAAAAACTTTACTTATATGTATAAGGGCAAAGGTGAAACGGAATATTCAGATGAAGAAAATTATAAACATAAAAGTAAAGACAAAGGGGAGGATGAGCATACTGAAGAAAGATGAAGATAGGGGAAGAAAGGTAATTAAACATACACTCGAATCTGGGAACTATTTTGGGATTTTAGAGATTTTCGTGATTCTCGGAACTTATCGATATAATAGTCGATATTTTTATCGATTTTGTTATCGAAATTTTTATCGATATTATTATCAATTTTGCTATCGATATTTTCGGAACTTATCGATTTTGTTATCGATATTTATCGATTTTGCTATGGATATTTATCGATTTTGTTATCGAGTTTTATCGATTTTGTTATCGATATTTATCGATTTTTTTATCGATATTGATTGATTTTGTTATCGATATTTATCGATTTTTGTTTACCGATTTTGTTATCGACATTTCTCGATTTTGTTATCGATATTTATCGATTTTGTGATCGATATTTATCGATTTTGCTATCGATATTTATCTATTTTTATATATATATTTTTATCGATTCCGTTATCGATATTTTTATTGATTTTGTTATGTACATTGTTGTATTTTTATCGATTTTGTTATTAATATTTTTATCGGTTTTGTTACCGATAGTTGTCGATTTTGTTATCGATATTTATCGATTTTGTTATAGATATTTGTCGATTCTAATATCGATGTTTATCGATTTTGTTGTCGATATTTATCGATTTTGTTATCGGTATATGTACATATATCGATTTTGTTATCGATATTTATCGATTTTGTTATGGATGTTTTTATCCGTTTTATTAACGGTATTTTAATTGATTTTGTTATGGATATTTCTATCGATATTTTTATCGATTTTGCTACCTATATTTATCGATTTTGTTATCGATTTTGTTATCGATATTTATCGTTCTCGTTATCGATATTTATCGATTTTCTTATCGGTATTTGTCGGTTTTGTTATCGATATTTTTAACGATTTTGTTAGGATATTTTTATCGATTTTGTTGTAGATATTTTTATCGAGTTTCCAATAGATTTTGCTACCAATATTATTATCGATTTTGCTATCGAAATTTTTATCGAATTTTTCATAGATTTTATTATCGATATCTTTATCGGTTTTGCTAGATAGGGATCTAGATAGAAAAAAGACAAAAAATTTAACCTTAAGCAAAAGCAGATGTATATGTATATGTACACATGTATGTATGCATATTGGTTATGAGACAAAATAGATATGTATGTAACATAAGTTTCACTTCTCCAGTGTGGCCAAGGCGCACTTACTTTTTTTCTAAAGGAACAAGCTTTAATACTAGTGCCAAATATTTGCACAGAAACTGTTATTTTTTACTTTTTTCCCTGTTAAAGTTTGAATTTTTTGCATTTTTCCATCAAAAAAACAAAAAAATCTGGAATGATTAATCCATTTCTGAGAAACTATGAGGGCTATCGAAAAGTGATGTATATACGGTTAATAGAAAATTTTATTTTCTTTCATATACTGTACCTCGCGTTA